GGTGATGAGTTTCCCATCCTTGTACCACTTCACCTCCGTTTTCTCCTGGGCCACCTCACAACTCAGAGTGGCATTTTCTGACAGTGCAGCTTTCACCTCTTTCTGCACCTTCTCCTTGTTTGTAAACACAACTTCTGGCTCTGGAAGAAAACCCCAGCAGTCACACACAGCTTTTTGCAGCCATTGTCTCTGCTGTTTAGTCAAGTTTMTCCTATTTCACTGCACTCACCCCTGACAGGTAAAATCATGATGGGCCATYAGTGCAAGAAAGCACCTTCATTTCTGTTTTGCTGAGAGAGGAATAGGTATGAGAGCTTTATGGGAATTCTTGGATAATATTAAAAACTTACMGTTTTGGCACAGATTTGAATGCAAGACTTAGAGCACCAAAAAGCATTGTCTGAAYCCTTCTCCCTCTTCTCTCTTTTTCTCTCTCTATGTGTCCCCAAGCTTCCAGTGAATCAGAAGGGAACAGACTTTGTATCCTCATGTCTGGCACAATTGCTTTTTTTCTGGTCATTTTGGTCACTCAAATTGAGTCATTCTCCRTCTAATCACAGAATTCCAGGATGGTTTGGGTTGGARMGGACCYTAAAGATCRTCCAGTMCCACCCCCTGCCATGGGCAGGGACACYTTTCACTATCCCAGTTTGCTCCAAGCCCCATTCAGCCTTTCAGAGATGGGATCTAACCAGAGCTCTTCAACATCCACCCCTTCCTCTTTACCCATCCCTTTGCTATGGCCTCACACTAGGTTCCTACAGGAGTTTTTYTGCAGACAAACCAGCTAGTAGTGAAAGGAGATGGAATTTCCATCCTTTYCTATTTTTTTGGTGGTCACAACCAGTCCTGGATGCAGAGCTGTGTGTATAAAATATTGTTATGAAAGCTGCCCCAAAAATCAAGTACTATGTCTGAGATCTTTCACTGTGGGGAGACTGTGAGATGATCCACCAATAAAAAGGAATTTTCCTTCATCTTTGGAATTCATGGCATTTTCTCACCTCTGACTTTGACTTGGAATGTTGTTCTGTCRTCCTTGGTTTCACAGGTGTAGCTGCCTTGGTCTTGCTGTGTCACCTTCTTGATGAGGAGCTTGCGTTGTGTCCCCTGGGACACGATKGTTGTCCGCTGGTCCTGCTTCACCTCACTCTGCCCCTTCCTCCACACCACGGCCCCGCCCRCTGCCGACACCTCACACACCAGCTCCAGGCTCTCAGAAGGACTGACTGATACTTCTGGGGTCGTTTTGGGCTTGTTGACAAAAGTAACAGCCTCATCTGGAGTGGAAAAGAGAGAACACTTTGTGCCTTGGTGTGTGTTTATGAGCACAGAGTTAGGATACRGTAATTACTGATCATTATTTCATTATCACACAGAGTTGATGCCTCTATGACAGATGGTGMAAATTCCTCTGATCTTCAGATAATTTCTCTCAGTTACAGAGCAATCCCATTCATGTGCCCCACATTCCCCTGGATCATCTAAACCAAGCTGAGATGCCCTCGAGTTGCTCACACTTCATTTATCACTCCTTGATTCCGATGTCGAGCAGGCTCTGGGGGATGTGGATTGGTGTCTGAGGACAGAAACAGCTTTGAAAAGGCCTGGGAAGTCTCAGAAAATCTAGTTAGAYGTGATAAGGAGTCTTTTTTAAACATTTCTGAGCCCATTCCTGCWGCTCCTTGTTCACAGTATCAGTCCTACCGGACCAATTCTTCTCCAAACCAGGGCACATATGGAATAATCTCACTGATAAAATATTCTCCAASTTAATGTTAGGAAAAACCTCTGAGCAGCCTGGTCTAGTGGAAGGTGTCCCTGCCCACAGCAGGGGTTGGAAGGAGATGGTTTTTAAGGCCCTTTCCAACCCAATCCATTCCATCTTTCTATGGATATAGGAGTCAATAATCTCATGTATTTTTTGCTGAACCTGCTCTTCCAGCAGAAAACTCAGAACTGCTCTTACAGATGAGATGAAGTTCCTGCATGGACACTTCAGCTCAAACCCTACTGACAGCACAGATGGAGTAACTGCCATGCAGACAATGCAACAATACAGCATTTTTATCAATTAAAGCTCTTTGCAAGTGTCTTTGTAAAGGTAAAAGCAAATGCAATGAAGTGATAATAGAGCCCTTGGTGTGAAATGTGAGMGAACCTATTAAACACAGCCTATCCCGAAGCTAAGGAGCAATATTTGWTGGGCATGGCAGGTATTTGAGAGCCTTCATGCCAGCAGGGCAGTCCTGGCCTGAAGAGCAGGCTGAGGGCTGTCACTGGGAGCCAGCCTCAGCTCAGTATTGCATTTCTTCCAGCAGCAACTGTTGCTTTCAGTCACTGAGTATCCTGAGGACAATTGCCATGCCCAGCAAGTATTCCACTAAAATCTACATTCATTAGGACAGATCTGTTCCCCARCAAATAGCAGAGCCAAGGAGGAGAGTCCCTCCCGAATCCTGCAGTTCAGGGYTGTTGGGGTATCTGATTCCATCAAGGCAGACTGACTCCCTACCCTGAGACCACCCCCTGAGTGTGCAGCGCTCTCCTCAGCACTCTGGAAAATTTTTATGGTGACACATGAAACAAGGAGGAAGCTGCCCTGTTTAAGGTGTTGTTCACAGGTTGTAACTCAATCCTGGCTTACCAAAACGTTTGTGGGGATAGGATGAGGGATAATGGCTTCAAACTGACAGAGGGCAAGGCTAAATGGGATATTTGGAATAAAGTCTTTCCTGTGAGGGTGGGGAGGCCCTGGYACAGGGTGCCCAKAGSAGCTGTGGCTGYCCCTGGATCCCTGGAAGTCTCCAAGGCCAGGCTGGAYRGGGCTTGGAGCACCCTGGGACAGTGSAAGGTGTCCCTGCMATGGCAGGGGGTGGCACTGGATGAGCTTTAAGGTCCCTTCCAACCAAAATCCTTCTGTAATTCAATGATTCAGTAACACCAGATTTCTTTGCCTGAGTCACGTGGTGTTCGGTCATGGGAGTTTTTGTCACAGGTGGGATTCACCCAACCTGTCCATGGACATCAAAAAGTCAGTGCCCAGCTCAGGCCATCCTGCTTCCTCTGTGCCTGGTGTTCAAAGAACACTTTTTTACTCTATCTTGGGCAGCTCTAATCAGGCAGCATCAGTCAGATTGTACAARTTGCCTTTTGAGGGGTTGGTTTGGGCAGAGCCTGTTTGGCTCTTTCAGACCAGTTTTCCAGTGGTTAAAGTCAGGGATTGGGAATCACACTCCAAGTGAGATTCCTTTATGTTGGAGAGCTGGAGGCGAAACACAGAGTGAATACCAGCTGGAAGTGGAAGCAATCCCTCCAGCTCAGTAAATCCTGCAGCAGTCCCTCCAGATAGCGCTGTCCCAAAAGAATCAGCTTTGCTGGGTCTTTAGTTAGCTCATGGACAGTACCACAGTAACCTGGATATTCTGTTACAGATCTCAACTCTTCAGTTACTCTTAAACCACATTGTACTGCAGCCACGTCAGGAAAAGCCTTCAGGAGAGTTTCAATCTTAAATTTAGGGCCAGGTTAAAGATTAGGCTCCAGGCATAAGMCAGAACACCCCCTTTAGAAGAGGAGTTCCCACAAACATGCAACTCGAATCAGTTGAATTTCACAGGTATTGAATTTCACAGGCGAATTCTTGTGTCATTTTAGACTCTGGCTCCATCCTGGGCTGGAATGCAGTGGTGACAAGCATTTCTCTTCTGGGCTCGACCTGACAACCACGTGCTTTGTGTGATGGGCACGTGACAAGGACTGACAGAGTCCTTACAGTACCGTAGGGAGTGATCTCTGAGATCACAGCGTCCTTTGGGTGTGACAGGAGATGTTTAACTCTCCAAATCAGGAGTTAAACTTYTCAAAGGAGAACACGTGGCTCTCACAGCGAGACTTTGAATCCCCACCTCCGGTGATGCACACGCTGAGCTGAAGGAACCAAGGCCAGATGTGGCTGCCAGCTGTTTGGGTTGTGCTCCAGCCCCAGAAACAGCTTGTGCTGACTCAAATAAATCCCAGCATCATTTTATTATTTGCTCATATTGTGGGATTGCATCGGGACCATAAGGTCGGAATCTCAGAATAAGGACCAGCAAGGGTCAGAATCTCAGAACAAGGATTAGAAAGAGTGTTTTATGACCTCAACCCAAAGATCTGTTRATTTGGAAGGTGGGACAGATCTAATGAACAAAACCCCGAGTTTCTCCCACAGAT